ATAGAAACATCAATGATGAGAGAGAATCATTGATTGCCTGCCTCCTGTACATCCCCCACTGGGGATTGAGCCCACAACCTGGGCATATGCCTTTGACCAGAATTGAACCTGGTACTCTTCAGTCAGCAGGCCAACACTCTATCCATTGAGCCAAACTGGCAAGGGCAGGGTACCCTTAATTATTTACTTTCAGCAATGTTTATATATTTAAATTTCCTACTCATAGGACTGCATATACCCTATATTTAAAATATCCAATGTACAAAAAAACTGTTTGAATATATAGTTGGAGGTGTCTAATTGTTGTATATTAATAGGAAAAGTTTGAATATATTCTCAAAGCTACAGTTTGTATAAATTTGATTATTTAGAACAATTTTGGGTTTTCCCCATGCCAAAACCAACCTGGAAAGAAAAGGTCAAACCAAAGATTCAGCATAAACAAAATTTATTTGATTCTAGTTTCTTCCCAGTATCTTGGATCTCACAGCTCCTCTGCAAAATCTATATCAGCTTTTATTTAAAAGTTTTTAAAATATATAATGCACTTTAATCAGAATTCTAATAACTATTAACAAAAAATTAAATACGGCATTCATGGAACTGAACACAGAATTTTCTTAATTATTTTGTTGTTGTTTACTTGGGTTTGTTAATCCTCACCCAATGATATTCTTCCATTGATTTTTAGGAAGAGTAGAAGGTAGGGGGAGAGACAGAGAAAGAAACATGGATGTGAGAGAGACACATTGGATTGGTTGCCTCTTACTCATGCCCCTCACAAGGGCCAGGATCAAGCCTGCAACTGAGGTATGTGCCCTTGACTGGAATCAACCCGGAAGCCTTCCATTAGCTGGATGATGCTCAACCAGTGAGGGCAGCATTTTCTTAATTTAATTTCTACTCTACCTTGGTTGTAGTCACCTATATAATGCTTAATATTAGGTATTTGTTTTCTCTATATTGATTAAGATTGTCAAAATATTTTCTAATTTTATTTTTAGATAGCCATATGTTAGAGTTATTAATAAATCATAATATTTTCCTATTCATTGTTATTATTTTTTCTAATTCTTACTTTCTCTGTAAATTTATTATAGTGCTGTGTTTTGTGAAATATTTTAGAATCCAATACTTTTTTTTTTTCAGGTATGCCCTTTCTTTCTTCTCTGGTTATATATTTTTTAAAAAGGCTATACAGTCAGAGAAAGATAAATATCACATGATCTCACTCATTTATGGACTATAGTGAATAACATAAACCAATGAACAAAAACAGATCCAGAGATAGAGAAGCATTGATCAGACCATCAAACCTCAGAGGGAAGGTAGGGGAGGGTGGGGATAAGGGGGAGAGATCAAATAAAGGACTTGTATTCATGCACATAAGCCAAACCAATGGACACAGACACCAGAGGTTGAGGGTATGGGGGGCGGGGGGGAAGAGAGACAATGGGAGGTTAAGAGCACATAGGTAATACCTTAATCAATAAAGAAAACAATAAATAAAAAGGTTATACATTTGTTTTGAGTATAACTTTGTTCAAAGCTCATAGTATTTGAAATTTAAAATTAAAATTTTAATGATTCTATAATTTCAGTTCTTATATCTTTTTTAAATCAGCAAATGTTTATCATATCTTAACACTTTAGAAGGTTTGATTATTTCTATTCACAGTTTTATGGCATTTTGGTCATATAATATTTTCTTAGTAAAATTTATTAAGGTTCCCTTTTGCTATGATGTATAATGGATTTATGTAAATAATCTTTGGGCATTAAAAAGGTATTTTATATTTGTTGGTTAAAATGATTAGTCAATCTTGATGTATCTTATATACTGCATTCATTAATTTGTTATCTATTCAATGATTAAACTTGAATATTTAACACCATTTGATTTTGAAAATGTATTACATTAGTGGAGGAAATGACAAGTACAATAATCAAATAACTACAATAGAATGACTGTTTTGATAGGTGTTATGAAAGCACATAAGAGAAACACATCACCCAGGTTGAAGGTCACTGTCTTTATATCTGGAAAGTGAGATGAGAAGGAAGAGTTGGTTAGACACAGACAGGGAGAGCATTCCTGGAGCAGAGTACAGCACTTGTGTGAAGCACTGGAGGCCTGGGATGACATGGTATGTTTTTAAAAAAAAAAAAAATAGGTTAAGAAACAGTGGTAGAAGTATGTAGTAAACAATAATGCTAGAGCAAAAATTCTACATTAGCTTTACTAAGTACCCATTAATGAGTTTAAAGTAGATTGGTAAGATGATAAAATTCAAATTTTCAACCTAATAAAGGGGCAGAGGTTAAGTAATATCACGAGATTTAAAACAATAACTAACTGGCTTAAACGCTCTTTTCTTAAGCTATACTGCCAAGTATGATGAGATTGCTATAAATCTTTTTAGTGTTACCCTTTGAGTCTTTTGTTCCACATTATCAACTATCATTGACCTGACATGGTTTATGAATAGTGAGGTAATTAACTTTAAAAATCCAATATAATAAAAGGCTAATATGCAAATCAACTGAATGGTGGAACAACCAGTTACTATGATGTGCATTGACCACCAGGGGCAGATGCTCAATACAGGAGCTGCCCTCTGGTGGTCAGTGCTCTCCCCCACTCAGCCAGAAGCTGGGCTGATGGCTGCCAAGCATAGCAGCGGTGGCAGGATCCTCGCTCGTCTCTGTGGCAGCTCTAAGGACATCCAACAGTTGGACCTCTCCCAAGGGCTCCTGAACTGGGAGAGGGTGCAAGCCAGGCTGAGGGACCCCCTGAGTGCACAATTTTGGGTAGCAGGCCTCTGGTATATTATAAAGTATCTGGAGAGCAATCCCCACCTTGAACTTTCTTTTACATTCAATCCTCTGAGCATATAGCCACATCCTTTCTAGAGGGTAGTAGCTCCTTTGCCTAGGAAACTGTAGGGGAGAACTCTGCAAGTCGTGACAAGCACAGATGTTAATGATAAAACAAACAAAGGTGATTGTTATACAGAGAAGGTCACTGGAGCACTAAATAGGAAAATTCAGAAGGGAGTATTAGGAATCATGATAGGAAATCAACCACAGATGAATAAAAATAATTATAAGACATAAATAAAGGGTCAGTTCAGTTGAAAAAACATCAACCTTTATTGAACTTAACAAGTACATTATCCCCCCAATAAGACCCAGCAATGTCACAGAAGGAGAAGGGACAACAAATAACCAGGATTACCTAAACTAGATATTGGCAATGTGAACCCAAGGAGGGACACTAATGTGGGAAGTAGGGAAAGCGGATTTGTAATGACCTGAATGAAATTTAACTGTATATCATAATAGTACCATAACCAAAGGGAAAATAAATCATGTAGCTTTTTAAAAATATATATATATTTCATTGACTTTTTACAGAGAGGAAGAGAGAGAGAGAGAGCTAGAAACGTCGATTAGAGAGAAACATCGGCCAGCTGCCTCTTGCTGCGGATGTGCCCACAACCAAGCTACATGCCCTTGACCTTTATCGAACCTGGGACCCTTGAATCCACAAGCCAACATTCTATCCACTGAGCCAAACCAGTTTTGGCTCATGTAGCTTTTGAGCATGACTCAAACTGTACATCATTCCTGAAACATCCTTAATGATAAAAAGTTGCAAAGAAGTCTTAAGTTTTTCTCACTAGCTTGATTGTCAGTTAAATTATTGGTTGGTAAAAAATCATATATATCGGTATTGTAATTTTGTACCGATTATATTCAAATTTCAGGCTAAAGAAAACAAGTGTGTTATTGATATTAGTGACAGATTTTTCACATAAGAAAAAGGAGGTGAAATTATAAAATCAAAGAAGAAAAATGCTGCCATGATGAGTTTAAGTTGGAAATGTCAAGATGATCTTATGATTTTTTTTTAACCCACTGAAAGATCTAGAAACTCTAGCAGCAATCAATACCCCTCAAACCTATATGTACCCTGTTAAAATAAAGAGGCTCTTGGACACATGCCAGGATGAGACAGAGAAAACGCAGTATGAGCCTGGGGCTTTTGTTGTGTAGGAAAACTGGGAGGCCTGAAGGGGAAGGCTGTCAAAAGGACACAAAAGTCAGCTTGCAAAGGCTCCAACAGGCTGACTGAAGTAAACCCCGTTACTGAACTTGAAGGTAAAACATTGAACAAATAAAATTCGTAAACCCATTGTGGCACCGACAAAGAGGAAAAATAAAATTTACATGTACGTAACAAAATATATGACAAAAATAATTATACTACTATATACATTCTGAATAAATGTGCAATCACTCTATTCACTATATTCAGGAAAGAAGTGATTTCTGAAATGTACAAATCAGCTTTCCAATAACAATGAGGGGTGCTACTGGTTAAAAATTATGATTTGCCAAAATAAAAGGTAACAAACTTTGCTGCCTATATACAATGTTCTAAATTGTATATAGGAGAAATTCTAAGTTATTTCTATGTTTTCTACTAGTATAAACACTGGTTCATAAGAAAAGCACTGTGAAAAAAAATGAGTTAAATGTATATAACTCAGGGGAATATTTTTAATGAAAATTATAAACTCTTTAATAAATTATAAAAATAAAGTTGCATGACAAATGCAACCAGTTTAATAAATGATTTAATATAAAAATAAGGGAAAAATCAGTGCTTGTATCATACCAGAGGTACATTAAAATCAATGAATGTACCATATATCTGTTCAAAGGGAATTCTAGAGTTTCTTAAAGATTCTTCCTTCTTGCTGAATTTATTTCTAATGAACAATACAACCAGAGATCCTTAAGTCCACTGGCAAACTGAAAAGTCCTTTTATTCTGGTATGAAGAGATCATTAAATCCCCGGCACCGACATGAAAGAGAGCATGAGTTTTCAGATAGTTTATTTAGCTGTAAAAGTCAAGATGAAGATCTTTAAATAACCCATGTTTCTGGGTGGTCGCGTAGGAAGCTGCAAATATGCCATTTAAAATCTTTGCTATGAAATAGCATGGTTTCTCCTTGAGAACTTCTTTATTTCCTGTGAGAATTGTCTTTTTTTCTTTTATAACACTGTTTTCTGATTATGATAGCTGGATAAAATCTTTGTTTCTCTCAATTCTTGCCAAAATAAAATATACATATTTACATCTGTAATTTCACAAAATCCCATTTCTCAAAAGTTATTACTGTCCCCTTCCCATGTATTTACAGAGACAGATTAGCAAAAACAGAAGAGATGACAGAGGCTTCTTGGTTTGGTTATATAAATAGTTACTTTCAGCAATTCTGAATACATGTGGCAAAACGGGGCAGGGGATAGGGATTAATTCAAATAATTTTTTTGTAGAAATGTAGATATGGTGCATGTATAATATTTTTATTCTAAAAGTATGTGGCCATGACTCACCTGAACCTATTCTATGTCTAAGCATATTTCAGAATGCAAAAGGAAAAGCATGAGGTCAGGCCAGAATGGCTCAGTGTTTGAGCGTCGACCTATAAATCAGGAGATCATGGTTTGATTTCTGGTCAGGCCATATGCCCGGGTTGTGGGCTCCAATTCTTATTGTGGGGCATGCAGCAGGCAGCCAATCAATGATTCTCTCTCATTATTGACATTTCTCTCTCTCTCTATCCCACTCCTTCCCTCTCTGAAATATATATATATATATAATGTGGTGGGTTTTTTTTAGGAAAATAATGAAGTATATGCACGTATGTGTCTGCATGCATGCACACACATTTGCTTATGGGACAGAGAATTAATATTCCAATAACCTTCCTAGAACTGTGTTTCTCCTATGTAAGAGGTAAGCAACATTTTAAAATACCTGAACCTAATGTGTATAAGTGGATATGGCTAGAAAGGATAAAAGGCACATAAATCATTCATTAAAAAGTACTAATAAAAATATAAAATTGTTTGCTTTAAAAAAATTGAGGAGTATTTTAAGCAACATACTAAATCTTTAATTCTGCTTAAGAATTTAAATTAATTTACTTAGTTAATAGACTATCTATTAGGATCTTAGCAAGCTTTCAGTTCAGTGTTTCTTATTCTTGGGAAATCCATTAATTTATTTTATGCTATTTATTGATTTTGTTATATATGCCAGACACCATGCTAGGATTTGAGGACAAAGTACTTAGCAAGACAAAAAAATGACCTGAAGTGTATAGTACAAAACCTGATATGGTTTTAATTTATTTTTTTCTCCTGTAATTCTCTCAGATTTTACCTTATATTTTTTTGGGATATGATTTATGATTGATATCTTCTTTTTAATATTAAGTAACCTTTTATACTCTATTTAATTAATCTTAAATTGTATTTTTCATACAATGCTACTTTGTGTACTGAATCTTTTTCCACCCTTTTATTTTGATTCTCTTTATTCCTGTTATGTTAAAAAGGATGTTCTTCTTTTAATGAGCAAATAGTTATATTTATATAATTCCAATCTATCTCATAAACAATCATTATCCCATCTATTTTTATTGTTAAACTAATGTGCCTTTGTCTTTTTGTGCATTTTTTTGTAAACTATATTGCTTTTTTTTGTCTTCCATTTATCTTTTTGTGAATTTTTAAGTTTCTCCACTCCTACCATTATTCATTATAAAGTTACTAGAGGCCCAGTGCATGAAATCATGCACAGATGGGATCTGGCCTGCCCACCCCCATGGGGGCCAGGCCAGCAGGGGGTAGGGGCTGCAGGCAGTTGGCTGGTTGTCCCCACCCCTGATCCAGGTGTTGGAAGAGCAATTGGGGTCGGATCAGGCTGTTTGGCTGCTACAGTGTGTGTAATTGCTACCAATTGTTCTTGTCATTTTGGTCATTTCACTGTTTCCAATCGGTGGGCATATAAATATATATATATATATACACACACACATACATACATACTAGAGGCCCTTTGCACAATATTTGTGCAAGAATAGGCCTTCCTTCCCCTGGCTTCACTCCCGGCTTCCCAGGAGCCAGCAAGTCCTCACTCCCGGGCCTCTCGGGAGCTGACAAGTCCTCGCTCCCTGTGAAAGCATCGCTCCTGTAGCTCCCTCTACCCCTTTTTTCCTCCCCCTCATAGCAGGCGTCCTATCCATCTTATCTCTCTGTGCTGGCATATGCCAATTAACCTGCCATCTTTGTCAGGTTAATTTGCATACTCACTCCTCATTGGCTGTGGGCATAATAGAGTTATGGTCAATTTACATGTTTGTCTATTATTAGGCAAGATAACTATTTCTGCCTGCATTAATTAATCTTAAATATTGAACAAACTTATTAACATTATATTTTTTCTCACAAAGTTCAAAGCCAGCATGTAAATATATTTCATCTCCTCCCTGTACTCCTCTTTCTTTCATCTACTCCTTCTACACTTGTTTGCATTTAACAACTTGATTTAGCAGTTAATTTGTTCACCATTTCTTCTAGATTTTCACTCCTCTCTCCTGGGATCATTTTATTTCTTCTTGAAGTGTATCTTTTAATAGTTTCTCCCCTAGACTTTCCACAGAATTTAAACTCCTAACCATATTTTGTTTATATTCATACTTTATTTTTACTTTTGAGTAAAAATTGAGCTGCATAAAGAATTTAAGCTTCACAATCTACTTTGAAGCATTTTAAAACATAATTTTATTATCTTTAGACATTTTTCATTATATATGATGTCTTCTATGATTCAGTATTGTTTTTGATATTAATCATTTTTCCTTTGGTAGTTATGCATTTTTGTATTTGTCCTTAATATTAAATAGCTTTATTAGAATGTACAAAGTGTACAATTTATTCTGCATGCTTTGATTGATTATTTGTTAATTTAGTTCTCTCGGCTTCCTTCAATTCTCAAAAGTTTTATAACTTGAATTGTATCTCTCTCCAATATACCTCTCTGTGTTAGCTCTAGAAATCCAATTACACACTTGTTGAGTTTTCTTCTATCTCTGTTTTAAAATTCTGAGTGGTTATCTCAGTTTTACATTTTGGTACACTAATTATATGTTTGGATATGCTCAGTTTACTGCAGAGCTTTTCTATGAAAATGTATCATATCAACTATTACATTTTATTTCCAATATTTTAATTAGTTAACTTTATATTAGCCTGTTACTGATGAATAATTTCATCCTTTTGTTCCAAATTTATTTGAGTCTGATAATCCTTGATATTCATTAACAGGTTTTGAGTAAGAGCAACATGAGCCACTTCTCTCTGTGGCTCATAATCCTCTCACTCATACTTTCCCAAGCTCTTTCCACTTTCCTGGGACAGGAAATGTTGATGAGAGCAATATTTGAAGCCAAGAGCTAAAGATGGAAGGACCACCTACAGGTCCAGGTCATTGAACAATTGTATGTGTCAAAGCCAGCATCAAACAAAAATTTCCACCCTGTACTGCTATGTGGGAAAGAAATGAAGTTCTTGTACTTTGTGTCAGCAAATCTCAGCTTGAAAGCTCATCTTGCCTTATTTCTCATTTCCACCATATCTCCCCTCTGCGCAGTATTTTCTGAGGTCAGCTCAGCTCAGCCCCAGGGATCCATAGCTCTGAAATAGGTTATCCAAAAGTGTTCAGAACATTAGATGACAGTGCAGTATCCCTTAGATGTGGCTTGGCCAGATTCCAAGTTTATTGCTGTCTCTTTAAACTCCATCACATACAAGCAATATATTTCTCCTACAAGTGGGGAAACTACCAACTACATTCATGTAGGTACACTGTCTCTGTTTAAATGCTTGGGTTGGAATTTTAGACTCAACTCCTACTTCTGAGCCCAGTATCACTTGGGACAGAGGGCTTCATTCCTATTGTGATTTCCATCATATTTGTTATTCATGTATTTTTAGCACTGTTTATTATTCTTATTATTTAATAGACTAGTTCTATGTATGTGTAGAAGATAGAACAGTTAGGTTGATGTATTTAATCTAACATCATGGTTTCTATAATTTATCCTGAATGGTGAGATCTATGCAGAGATTATATATGCAAGTGATTTATATTAGGATTCTTTATAAGAAAATCAGAAATGAATGACTGGGATAGGTTTGGTTAAATAAATTACACTATTTCACAGAATAGAGTATGTATTGTCAATAAAATATGTTAATGACAAAACAACCTATATTAATTGAAAAAAAAATAGCTGCTTATACTAATATATATGTATATATACATATATACACACACATACACACACACACACACACACACACACACACACATATATATATATGCATTTATATATTTGAGTATGTGTACCTATACAACATATTACAGTTATAGAGTGTCAGGTTATTTTAAACTTTTATACACTAAATTTGTATTTTATAAAATGCTTATGATGACATATTTTTATTTCAGAATGCAGGATAAAAAGTTGAAATTCTAAAGGTAATACTTGACTTTCACAGTGAAAATAGACTTAATGTTTACTGAAAAAGTACCTATAACACATAATTAAGATATCATTTAACTTGTCAATTCTATTGTTTCTGGCACAAAAATAATACCTTTGTTTACTTATAACACTCTAGGCCTGGAATCTGGGATCTTGAGCATGCTGCTTCATCTGACACATGTTTGACAAACAGATGGATTTTCCATTATGTCCCAAGCGACAAAAAACTTGAACTCTTTTAAGCAAAGCAGTGAATTATTTGTTTATGTTTTCATGGTTTCAGTAATGACCTGCCAGATCAGCATATTAATGAAATGTTTAAAGTGTACTAAGTTGGTGGTAATATGAAAAAGTCAACCCCTAGCTGGTTTGGCTCAGTGGATAGAAGCATTGGCCTGTGGCCTCAAGGGTCCCGGGTTCCATTCTGGACAAGGACACATACCCAGGGTGTAAGCTGGATCTCCAGTAGTGGGTGTGCAAGAGGCAGCCGATCATTGGTTGTCTCTCATCAGTGATGTTTCTCTCTCTCCCTTTCTCTCTCTCTCTCTCTCTCTCTCTCTCTCTCTCTCTCTCTCTCTCTCTCTCTCTCTCTCTCTCTCTCTCTCTCTCCCTTTCTCTCTCTCTCTCTCTCTCTCTCTCTCTCTCTCTCTCTCTCTCTCTCTCTCTCTCTCTCTCTCTCTCTCTCCTTTCCTCTCTGAAATCAATTTGAAAAGTAGAAAAAAGACAATGAATATAAAAGGAAGAAGCAAGTGATTAAAAAAAATCAGTAGAGAAAAAAATTGCCAACATACATTCCTTACAAAACTCTATGGGAATGAGGTAATGAGCAATGGAGAGAAGTGCAAAAAAAAAAAAAAAAAAAAAAAAAAGAATGAGTTTGAATCTTTGATGGTGACTTTTTGATTGTGTATATGTTTATAAAAAATGATATATAATTTGTTGTGAACTAGTTCCTAAAAAGATATTTTGAAACAAAATCTACAGGGCTTTTAAAGCATTATATATATTCTAAGCTTCTTGAGGACTGAACAAATAACTATCATTTTTATTTTTCTATAAGCAATAATTAAATCATTGATGAATTTAATCAAATTGATTGAAATTTCCAAAAGTATTAAGTGGTAAAGACAATTAAATAAATGTGAAAAATGACAAAGTTGATTTCAGAAAATCTTATTCTTTATTTGATATTAATATTTGCTTTTTTACGCCGAAGCCGGTTTGGCTCAGTGGTAGAGCGTCAGTCTGTGGACTGAAAGGTCCCAGGTTCGATTCCTGTCAAGGGCATGTACCTGAATTGCGGGCACATCCCCAGTAGGGGGTGTGCAAGAGGCAGCTGGTCGATGTTTCTCTCTCATCGACGTTTCTAGCTCTCTATATCTCTCCCTTCCTCTCTGTAAAAAAAATCAATAAAATACATTAAAAAAATATTTGCTTTTCTATTTTATACTTTTTAACGAAACTATTCTTTACAAATTCTTGGGATTTAGTATATCCTTCTTTAATTTTTCCCTATGCCATTTTTTCATTCTTTCCCTTTTTAAATCTAAGCACAATGTGAGTAGAAATGGATATTTTTGTTCAAAGTAAAGCATTTTAAAAACCCAAAGTTCATAAATAATTAATGCATCTTGAAATATAATTTAACTGATATACATAAGAAATGGCTTATCCAATGAAGCTGACTTTTCCTAAGCTTTAATGACAATGAAATGTTTTTTGTTTTTTGTTTTTTTAAAGCTTTTAGATTTAGAGAAAAAGAAAAGCAAATCTCCAAGTAGGGGGCAGCTATGTTTATGAACTCTGATGGTCAGCCAACAGATATTTTGCATAAAACAGGCCTGCTAACCATGGAAACCATAACCCTAAAGCATGTTAGGCAGCCAACTTTGATGGTCAGACACAGCTGTAATCTAGAGTCTGACTTAACAACAACTTTGGCAGGTGTTCATGTTGCTTCAGCTAATATACATAGCTATTCTCTCTGCAAGGGAGTATGCAAAGTACCAAAAGCTGCTAGGGTACAAGGACAAAGTAAAGAAATGAATAGAAAGCAAAATGTAGGTCTTCATGAAGAAACATGGTTTATTAAAAGTCCCTTCCTGCTATCCGTCACAGCAAATGTCCCCTCTATTTCTAATTCTCTTTAATTAATACAAAAATTTAAATGATGGCTTTCATGTTTTTAAGGAATTACATTGGTGACAAATTACAGAATGGATCAATTAAGTCAAGGTGATTTATTTATATTCCACCTTTTTATGTCTGCATAAGATAAATATTTTGTATACATTCTCCATATTATGTATTTTGCATGCTTTTTAAATGAATCATGTATTTATTCCCTACCATTATTAAGTGAGACAATGCCAAAATCTTAACTGCATTTCAAAAGTGACCTTAACTCTGTAAGAGTTGAAAGGTAGGTGTCTTCAAGCCCTATTAGAAAAATAGTCTTGGGCCCTGTGATAAATTTTTAAAAACCACATTCTACCCTGTTTCCCCGAAAATAAAACAGTGTCATATATTAATTTTTTTCTCCCAAAGTTGCGCTAGGTCTTATTTTCAGAGTATGTCTTATCTTTCCATGCACTAGGTCTTATTTTCGGAGGATGTCTTATTTTCAGGGAAACTCGGTATCATAACAAGATAAGTTTAAAAATTAACCAGAATTAATACCATAAAGTGTACTATCCTCACAATTTTAAATACAACCTCAAAACATTTTTCATCTGGAAAGCTAGCTTTTTTTTTTTTTTTTTTTTTTTTTTTTTTTTTTTTTTAATAATATTCCTATTACTTCTGCAATGCTTTGATTTATTCTAGACCACCAACCCACAGATCTACTTACTTTCTTATAATCTATGAAGACTATCTTGCTTTCATTTCTCACATTGCCCAGCTTATTCTTAATTATTTTAATTTTCATTTGCAAATACTCCCAAATGTCTTGTCTTCTATTCATTCTTATGCACTCATTTGGCAAAATCTAAATCCAGTTCTACCCAACTATACCATAAATAGCTTAATGTCTACACAAAACTCATTCTCCATTCTCATCTGAACAGAAGCCAATAATAGTAACTATATTATTATTGTTGTTGTTGTTGTTGTTATTATTATTATTATTATTATTATTATCTTATAGTCACACTATTCTTCACTTCCATATAGGAGAGGCTGACTCAACCCCAGATGTAGTTTCTGATTAGACTAACCTAACCATGTTTTTCCATTCTACTTGCTGAAAAGTGATATAAGCATGAAAGTATGACAGAATTTTGGTCAATGAAAGACAGTTTTCTAAGTGGCTTCTAGAAAGTTTATTCACAATTACAAAGAGATCATATGGTCTAGCTTCTATGGCTAGGTGTCTACACATGGCTCCTAAAACTGTGATGGCTATTTTGTAGCCATGAGGGGAACTAGTAATAGTAAAGGCTAACACTTCAAGAATAACCAAGAGAGAGTTTCTCCATCTCTCTCAAAGTTGGCTCCCACACTGAGCACGGGTGGGAGGTCCCATTTCTTGACTCATGTTTTAGAAAAAAAAATTTTTTATATTGTTTCTACTTCATCTTAAATTCAGTCTTCAACTTCACTTTTTCTGGGTTAAGTTTCCATCATTTAATTCATACTGATCTCATAAGGTCATCAATAAATTCCATGTCTCTAAACTCAATATGTACTTTTATGCATGTTATTAAAAATTTCAACAGTATTTGTTAATACAGTTGACCATTCTATCTTTCCTAAAACATTTTCCTCTCTCAGCATGGTTTTTCTTCTATTTCAGTGAAGTCCCTTCCCTTCCCTTCCCTTCCCTTCCCTTTTTCCCTTCCGCTTGCCTTTTCCTTCCCTCTCCCTTCCTTCAGTTCCATTCCTCCCAGTCCCGTTTCCCTTGCCTTCTGGCGCCGTTTCTCTTTCTTTCTTCTTTCTTTCTTATTTTTTTTGTTCGTTAGGGGGATTTTTCGGCTTTCTTTCTTTTTTTCTTACTTTTTTTTCTCTTTCGCTTTTTCGTCTCCTCTGCTGCTTAGGTTTCTTTCTTGGTGCTTCTTTCTTTCTTCTTCTTGCGTGCTTGCTGGCTTTCTTGCTTTCTGCTTCTTTCTTGTTCTTTTCTTTTCCTTTCTTTCTTCCTTTCGTTTTTCTTTCTTCATTTTTCTTCGTCTTTTATCTTCTTCTTCTCTCTTCTCTTCTTCGTCTTCTCGATCTCTTCTCTTCGCTCTCTCTCTCGCTCTCTCCTCCTCTCTCCTCACATCCTCCCTCTCCTCCTCTCTCTCTCTCTCTCTCTCTCCTTCTCCCCTCCCTTCCTTCCTTCCTTCCTTCCTTCCTTCCTTCCTTCCTTCCTTCCTTCCTTCCTTCCTTCCTTCCTTTCTTTCCTTTCTTTTTCTCTTTCTCTTCCTTTCACATTCTTTCTTTTACATTTTCTTGTGCATCCTTCTTCAATAAACCTTTAAGAGTTGAAATTTATCAGAGCTCAATCTGGGGCCTTCTAAATCTACATACTCTTTCTAGATGATGTGACCTCATCCATTCCATGACTTTTCCCAAAAAAATCAAATATTACTCGCACAGACACATATATACTTTGTCTGTGGTCTGTATTATAACAGGCCAAGAACACTCATAATTGAGAATTCTCCACAAACCCTATACATTGAGGTCCCTCAGACAGTGACTTCTATAAATCTGTACAAACTCCCTAGGTCATTTTTACTCTATGATCATTATTGTTTTTATGTTGATAATGCACAGATTTTTAAAATCTCCATACAAATGTCATGAATTTAAATATCATTGAATTTTGATAATACTTAAATGCCTGTTTCACTACCTCTGTGTTCTTGACCCATACCCAACTGTCTACTTGGTATCATTACCTGAAATCTCAATGAAATTTTAATTAAACCTGAATAAAGTGAAAATGCTGATTTATTGGTCACCCCAAGAAAATACCTCAAACCTTTTGTTAATCTTTTCTATCTCAGAATAGGACAACTTACCCAATTACTGAAGTGAGAAAACAGGGGGTCATTTTGACTCCCCCCTTTTCTTTATTTCTTCCATCCAGCCTATCAATAGATCCAATCGGTTGGTTGTGTTTCTAAATCAAATATCATTCACTTAGATCCATTTCATCTGCCACCACCTTACTCCCATACACTATGTATCAGGTATTTCAAAAGCCTCCTAACTAGTTGCTCTATTTTTTCTCTTAACTCTAGTCTATTCTCCATATAACATCCGGAGGGATCTTTTAAAACTCAATTATGACTCTTACCCTAATTTAAGCATTTCCATAGCTTCCCATTTGCATTTCAGTTATAATAAAGCTCAAACTTCTTGCCAGGCCTTTATAGCTCTGCATAACTTTGCACTAGTCTCTCCCACTTACTCATTAAACCCCAGGCACCCTGGTGATTCTCAGTTTCTGTAACTGTTCAAATTAGTTTCCATTTAGAGAACTTTGGGATCATTCCCTAGAATGCTTTCCTATGAATTTTTCACACATCTGTCTCTTTTCAGTCCTCCAGGTCTTATTGTAAATCTACCCATTTGGGGAAACATTTCTTGAATTCCATGTTAAGTAGCTTATTATGTCCCTACTAATACTTTACTAACATAATAATAAGACATTTACTGCCAGAGTAGGTATTTCAACCAGTAATAATTTCACCAATATTTATGTACTGATTTACTGAGTGTCTTTTTAAAAAATATATACTCTATGTGTGCAGAGGTCTTGTTAAGTCTTCTCACATTCATGTGTAGAGAACTGCCTAATAGATGCTTAGTGACTAAATACTAAGATTCTATAACATTATCTATGATCCAAAGAGAAATGTGAGGTGATAAACAGTTTTACAGACCTTTATAGTTGTCCCAGAAAAATCCTGATATACTTTCTAACTTTTAAGTCTGACATTTTCATACAAACTTTTATATTCCAAATTTAAATTTTAGTATTCAGAATGATTTATATTTATTTAAACCATGTCTCAATCCAAAAATAAATTTTATAACCCTGAATTACCTTTTCAAAATAAATACAGTATACATTTTAAATTGAGGAAAAAGCTAACTTATACCACTTCAAAGTGGATAAACACACACACACACACACACACACACACACACACACACATATATATATATATTTTAGCAATAACTATTGCTTAGTGAGAACTGACTTCATATAGATACTATGCTAAGAAATATTTGCACTATCCCATGTAATTATCACCCTAAGCCTATGTTATGGTATCATTCTAATTTATTGATATAGAGATATGAAGGTTTATAGAAATTAAGTAAATGATACCCAAGCCACACAGGTAATGTAAGGTGGGTGTCATTGAAGTCTTAGGGCTACTATTAATATGTTATATCTGCCACTATGCTATGTTATTTCTCCACAAGAAGGAAAATAGAATAAAAATTAGATGTGGCAAATTTTAGATATCCACTTATCTAATGCCCATTTTTCCATGCTTTTAAGCTTGCCTTTCTGTAAAATAAAGCTTGTAAAGTTAAAAACTGCAATTCCCAGACTGCTTTGCAAAAAGCAAGCAAAGGTGGGTCAATAAAATGGAGCAAAATGAGTCTGCCTTTGGCAGGGAGATCTGATCTGGCTCATATAATCACAGAGGTCTGTTTTATGGGGCAAGCTGTAGTCTGTGCTGTTCCCCTAATAAACTGAAACTACTCTGGCTCTTGAGAAAAGTTAGTGTTCTCAGGATTTCTGAAAACGTTACTTTTCCTATGTGGTAGATAATCCCCAAAGATGTCCACTATGCCTTCCTTTTCTTTATGAGCGTGGTCCTTCACACGTTAGTAAGTGGAATCTAATTCTTCTTAGTCACTGATTTGACTGGTAGGATATACCAGAGTGATACAAAAGAACTTTTGAAACTGGGCTGTGTGAAACGTTTTAGTGGCAAAGAGTTGATTGATGACATGCTGCAGTAATGTAATAGGAAATGGTCCTAATGAACTGATGTCAGATTATGGAGCTGTTCAGGCGAATGTTGAAACGCCCATTGTATTCTGTTATATGCATAAGACACGACACAGCAGAGAGAATGAGCCTTCCTTTTTCTTCTCTGATTTTTCTTTTCTTTTAAAAGACAATAGTTAGTGTTTCACAGAAGAATCTAGAGAAAAAAAGAAAAGTTGAGACTTAACTAGGCTCAAAAATAGGACTATTTATCATCTTCAGTCTTCCCAGGCAGCAGCAGATTTCTCAAAACCGGAAATGGCCGTAGGACAAAACTTAAACCCGGAGTATTTCCAGTAACATGTAAGAGGAGGGTAAAGTCAGTCCAATGGTGCATGTAGAGCACCCTTTACTGACATCTCAGAAACATTTATGACAGGGTTTCAACCGGACAAAAAGGTTTCCACTAATGTCAGAGAGACTTACATGCACACTCTTTTTGCTAATGAGAAGGAAAACCCTTATTTGTAAAAACTGCTGTTTGGAATTTTCTGCCATTTTTCTTAGATAAAATGTTGCTTTCTAGTCTGCGTTAGCCTGTTCGAATAATAATGAAGATTAACTTAGCTGTATGACCTTGTAGGCCAGAGACTAGATATGACCATAATCTCAATGCCATGCCAGGTGCATGTTTTAATTGGATGGAACTGTATTGTTTTCAAGGCCAGCATCGAGATAACCACTAAATGCACAGAGGGCTGGCTCTTTAATAAAAAGAGAAGTTCTGCTTGTAGCCTTGCTTAGAATTTGAAATCATTTTTCTCTAAGCCCATTGCGCGATGAATAAAGTGAGTCTCTCCAAACTCTCCTTCTGCATTGTTGGATTGTTCGGGAACTCTGAAACACTAGGGCTCCGAAGAACCATCAGGAGGTAATCTCACACCATCAAGACGCTCAGTCCAAAGTAGAGTGGAGCCTCTTTGGGGAACAGTAAATGTGGATGGCTTTTATCGAATGGAGGGAACCCCAATGAGACTGGACTAAAGGGATAGAGGCAGTTCACAATAAAAAAGAGCCATTGGAAACTCTAACCTCGTGGAAACACAGGCCATTTCTACATGAAAAGGACTTTTAGAGCACAGAGTCAGAAACCTAGAGGGAGGGCAGAGCCTAGTGCCCCAAGGCTCCTTCTGAGGAAGCAGAACTCAGCTCCAATCAGGAGCCGATGACAGGTGCTCAGATAGACTTCAGGCATCCTGTGGGTGAGTGACCTTTATGTGCCTCCTGTCAGATACCACCCTTTTTTAACATTGGAGGTTTTATTTATTATTTGTTTAACAACTTTCATACTCTTGTATTGCCATTTTTTTTTTTTTTGTATTGCCATTGTTAATATTGAGTGTGTTGAGCAGATACCTTATTGAGCAGATACATTTTCTCTTTGGTTAAAAAATCTGCCAATAGAAATCATGCTTGAGAAACTGCATCTGAAAAATTGCATCCACATCTTCCCTTGAACCTGATTTAAATTATGAATCCTAGACTTTAAACCAAAGCCATAAGGGATACAATTTGGAGGATATTGGAAAAAGACTGGTCTATTTTGCACGTAGAAAGAACATAAATCTTGGTAGCCAGAGCGCGAGCTGTGGTACGTAGTCTCCCAAAACGGCCACTATTGATTTCTTGCATCTCACCTGACAAGGTAGGCTCTAATTTCCTTCCCTTAAACCCGAGTACACTTTATTTTCTTAACCAATAGAATGTGACAGAAGCAATATCCTCAAATATCTAAAACCATGTCATAAAATGCCTTGCCGCTTTCATTTTGTTTTAAAGTATATTTTATTGATTTTGTACAGAGAGGAAGGGAGAGAGATAAGAGTTAGAAACATCGATGAGAGAGTCATCGATCAGCTGCCTCCTGCACACCCCCTACTGGGGATGTGCCCGCAACCAAGGTACATGCCCTTGACCGGAATAGAACCTGGGACCTTTCAGTCCCCAAGCCGACGCTCTATCCATTGAGCCAAACCGGTTTTGGCCGCTTTCATTTTTAATACTCACTCCTTGTATGCTCCCTCTTAGAACACAGTTGCCATGCTCTGAGAAGCCAAAGTCAAGTGTACGCATTTTAGTTGAGTTCCTAACCAACCCACGAATTTGAGGGATCTATGGGCCATGCATGTGGGGGTGAGAAGTATATAGAGGAAGTATATATAGCAGTTTAAATACATAGGTGTTAAATGTCAGAGAAAATTTAAGGAAATACACACTTGTGAGCAATCTGCTGACCAAAGTGGCCTTAAAATTCCATTCCCCTTTGCTTGACTAAATTGACGGGATTTTTCCCACTTTAAGACCACTTACCTACCTGTTTTTTTAAGCAGTTACTTTAGACAACTTGTATTTGTAAATCTCCTTGCCCCTTTGAGATGTAAATCTTTTAAAAAACCACTTAGCAGTTTTACCTTCCAGGAAAGTCTTAGGGAAAGCCAACCTTTGGAAACATAAATTTCAGGAGAGATTGTACCCATTATCTCCCAGTTTTTATGAGAGTAGAACTCTAACTTTGATGGAACCAAGTTACAAAACTATCTCCTATCATAAAGATGTAACTTTTTTTCTTTCTTTAGATCAAGCCAATGAGAAAATAGATGACCTGACTTCCCTAACAACCTCCAGGACTTTCCATTTCCAACTAGCTCCCCCTAGTGCTTAAAAGCCGTTCTGTTCTTTGTTTCAGTGGAGTTGAGTTTAAATTTAGTCCTGGCCACTGTCCACTACTGATAGCCTTGAGTCTTCAAGGCTTCCTTGCCTGTTTTATTTTGCCTGGCACATTTTTTTTTGAATTCTTATTATATGAATATAAAACATATAATATCATGAGTAGTTATGCTTAGAGAGAGATCAGAGTATGAGGAGGAGAAACCAAACAGTAGAGAGAGCAATAATAAAAAAAGAGAGGAGGAAAAGAAAAAGAACAAAGAAAAAAGAAAAAAAAAGAAAATAGAGGATATTAGGAAAGGCAAAGAGAAACAGTGATTTTTTTTATAGGTTGTTTTACAGACTGGGGAAAGGCTGCATTCGATGCTATTAAAATTTACCATTCAGTTAGTATAAATTAGGAAATGGTTGTATACAAACAATTTGCTTTCCTGCTAAATTAATTTACTGAATTATATTAGAAGACAGATATGCATGATCAACTTTGCAGGTTTAATGTAAGCATGTTGAAAAAAGTGTTCACTACTGTGAACCAGAGAACCTCAGCTACATTACTCATTGAGAACCCGGTGAAATCTCTCTCTAGCCCCTGTACCAGCAATGACTGAATAACTTTGCCTCTCTCTTGAGTGGCATTTATGGTACATTTATAGCATGTGTATGGAATTTCATTGTATAGATGTGAGACAAAATTATAGTGTGACCTTCTTTTCCTACCGTGTTTTCTTGTGCCTCAATTTCCTACCTCTTCAAGTTGACTTTATCTCCTCATTGAATGTGCATTTATAAACAACCTTATCCTTTCTTTGGAAACAACCTAAAATCATTATTAGTAAAAAAAAAAATTCATGAACTCATATTCAATAGACCAATCTGTTACCACTTTGGACAAATCTTTCTCAGCCTCTGTATCCTTATAAACAAAATGTGAATAATCTCTCCTTCAAAGAGTTGGTGTAGGATGGAGAGGATGAACGAATCTGAAGCTGTTAGGACATATGTGTTTAATTAGACTGTATTACTAGATACCTGCAGAGAATGAGCTGTTAAAAAAAAAGAAATAGTGACAATAACTGAGTTGGGGAAACTGGTGGTGCCAGAATTCAGTGCAGGGTTTGTCAGTCTCTGAAGCTCTGCACTTCATCCCGAAGTAGTTCGTCTTCAGACTGGCAGAGGATCTTCTGAGTTTACAACAGAATCCCTGGGGAGCTTTCTCACAATACAGATACTTGGACCACTCCCTATGCCAAAATAATAGAAATACTTGAGTGTAGGACCAGCACGCGCATACTTTAAAAATATTTCATAGACTCGGAACCATCACATTTCCTATAGAAAAGAAACCTTTTGCTCCTCAATATGTCTAAGAAGAGTCTCTTTGGTCCAGTTTTGGGTTTTAGATCCTCAGATATAATTGTTTTTGCATATCATGTACACCATAAAGAAGATAAGAGTAAATTAAACTTTACACAGATATTTAGAGAAGGTGCTTTTGCTAGGAATATTAAGTACCATGATGGCAATGAACTCAGGAGCAATAAGCAGCAGACCCCTGTGGGTGGGATAAATAAGCTTGAGTAATCCAGCCCTATCTGTCAAAGTCCATCTTACCAGAGTCAGAGAAGACAAAACAAAACCTATGGAATATTGTGAAATAATATATTGAAAATAGGCATTCCAGTCACATATTTATAGAATGGATTATTTCACTAACCTCATTCTTCCAATCATTTTCTCTCTTAACATGAGAGAAGCAAACTATCTTTCCTTTATTGTTTTACTTAGAAGAGTAAATTAGGCAAAGCGATAACCAATAAGTGAAAATAAATAAAAGTACACCAAAAATAATATTTTAAAAGAGAAGCTAAGTAACAAAAGGTGGAAGATTATATCCTGGGTTAGGGAACTAAACTCACAAACCATCGAGAAGCTGACAAGGAGAAGGCTGAGCACCCACCAGCTCCGCAGTGGTTATATACCTCCTAACCATGAGAAATTAGGCTGAAAGAAGTAACTTCCTTTTCAAGCCCCGCACACTAGTTGGTCAGAAACTTCCAGTTCAGGTATAGAATATGTTACTCCAAACCTACCCTTTCTCTCCATTTACTTGTCTCCTGTCCAGAATACAATTACACTAGTGTCCACTGACCTCTAATTCCTTGGTTAGGCGTTTGTCAATGAAACAGCCAAAGGAAATACAAATGGAAAAGAAGAATAGTAACATGTTTTCACAACATCTAAGATATCACCAACTATTTTATTATATACATACTTTGTTGATGAAAATCCTAATCATTTCATCAGCATGTTTGTAGGTGAAAATCCTACCATTTCCTCAATGTATCTAAAGAACCTAAATTTCAGTGTACTATCTGGCACTTTACTCAAAGTATGGCTTATGATGATGATGATGATGATGATACTAGATCTGCAGTTCATGAAAGTAATGAATAAAAGTATTTTCAACAAACATGCCAGAATTTCCACATTCAGTGGAAAAATATTTTCTTTAAAGTGGTCACCTAGAGAAATTGCATATTTCTAATAAAGACACTACTGCTTACAACATTTTGGTAACATCTCCTTTCTGTCAACTTGAAAATCATTTATGAAAATTATCATTCCTGTAAGTTATGGCTCAGTGGTGGAGCATTAACCCATGCACCAAGAGGTTGCCAGTTTGATTCCAGGTCAGGGCACATGCTAGGGCTGTAGGCTCTATCCCGGGTAGAGTGCAGGAGGCAGCCCTTTCAGATTTCCCCTCATTGATGTTTCCGTCTCTCCCTCCCTCATCTTCCCTCTATTTGTAAAATTAAAAAATCTTTTTAAAAAATTTGAAAATTATCATTACTGTAAGTTATCTTTTAAAAAATATATATTTTATTGATTTTTTATAGAGAGGAAGGAAGAGAAAGAGAGACAGAGAGCTAGAAACATCGATGAGAGAGAAACATTGACCAGCTGCCTCCTGCACATCCCCTTCTGGGGATGTGCCTGCAACCAATGTACATACCCCTGACTGGAATCAAACCTGGGACCCTTCAGTCTGCAGGCCGACGCTCTATTCACTGAGCCAAACCAGTCTTGGCTTATCTTAATAAATTTTTATTCTCCAGATTTTTTACCTCCATTTAGTTTTAATATAAAAGTTAGTTTATAAATATCAGTCATGAAATGAATATGAATGATCACTATTTCTAAGATACTGTGGGATATGATTTTTCAAATATCACAAAATGGTAGGTATAGGGCTATTTAATCCAAATATGTTCTAATAACATTTTAAAATGAGGAAACTTTACATAACAAATTTGAAGTCTTGGCTTGCAAATTAAAACTAAAGGATTTAGCAACACTAAGCCAGTACTTCCTGTTAGAATTACTGGGAGCTGAACAAAGGCTGATCCCTTTAGAAGAGGAAATGCATTTTTGCTTTAATCCCTGCTTGCACAATATACACAAATACACTGACATCAGGAGATCTGACCCATTGTGATATGCCAGTGAGTATAGAGGTCAAACTAAGTTGGCATTTTGGGTGGCCAAGTATCCAATTTACCTCATTGCTAGAGGATTACCTAGTCTTGCCTTATGGAACTCTGAAATGGCTGTAAAGTTTGGCTAATAAAATGTAGGTGCAAATGAAATATATCACTTTAGGGCAGAAACTTATGAACTAGCATGTCTGGACATTTAGCTATGAGTCACTATTCCAGACAGAGGTTTCTCCATTACCCTTAGCCCTGGAGAATAGATAGCAAATAGCAAAATCACAGTCCACAGCAGAGAGGCAGCCTAACTGAGAAATAAATCTATGTTGTAACCCGCTGTGATTTGGGGACCACCTGTTGCTACTACATGTTCTAGCCTATCCTTACTGACACACATGGAAATCACTTCCCCAACCTCTGTAAGGAACTAAGTTTGTGACCCATGTCTTTGCTATAAGTTCTCCTCTAATTTTTAGAATGTGAAAAACTGAAGTTCAATAAGGTTGAATAATTGTTCAGAAATAATGAAGTCACTTTTTGCATCCAGGTATGTCTAACTCCTAAGTCTGTGCACTTACTTTAATTCCTCATTCACTTACACTGTAATGTGACTATAAATGTTTATGCCACTATTTCTATCTTTCTCAATACTATTACTAAAAAAAATGACTTTGAAATTCACTGGTTTCTCAAATATCTAATCAAAGTAGGTATCTTAATTTAATAAGAAATTTGCTAAAATGTAATAACCCTTTTATGACAAAATTTTCTAGAAATCCTATAAAATACGCATGTTAAAATATATTTCAATAGTCTGGGTTTATTTTGTAAACACATTTTGTCTGTACCACCTAAAAATAATTTTGAATCATATTTATTGTTTTGCATACAATTCAGACATTTATTAATATTCAAAAGACCCAAATGCAAAGTAATAAATTTGGATTCTTTTCCCCATAAAAATGGGAAATATATCTTGATAAAGAACTTTTAAAATTATTATTACACACCAGTTAGTTGTTGGAATTGATAGTTCCAAGAAAAAAATAATTAACCAGCAAATACAAACAAACAAACAACAACAAAAATGCACCCCTCCCCCCCAAAAAAATCTGATTAGTGTATAAAACAGTTTACAATAATAATGTAAGCAAGAAACAAAAATTGATCAGAAAACACTCTGCCTTAAATTAATTTTCAAACAGATTTCTATTATACCACAGTTTACTCTAAATAACTCTAAACCCATTAGGAGCACTTCTATACATACAAAAACAGCAAAATTATACAGTACTTATTGCAATAACAAATTAAAAGTTGTCATAATATATGTAACTTAAATACCCCCCCATTGATAAAGTGGCTTCTTATTCCTTAAACATAAAAATTCTGTTCTTCATTGTAGAAAGATGAAATCCTCTCATCAAAAGGCACATTCTTATCTGCAAGGAAAAAAAAATACTGTAAATGCTCATCCTGGAATAAACTTAAACATATTTAAAATATTCCCAAAGATTTGGAGTGGTAAGAAGATAATACAAATATTTAATATTAGGGAATTCGAATAAATTGCACCGATAAAACAGATGGTGATTTTGTCTATATTAATTATGTCAGCTGCTATTTTTTACATTATAATTCTAACCTTTTCAAAGAGATTTTACATGTAACTAGTGAGAGTAATTAAAGACTAGTTCATAGTCATACCAAGTTACACATTCATAAAATTGTCTTTAATAGAAAACCCTTAGTGCTTATTCTGATATGTTATGTTCCATGTTAAAAGCAGTGTTTTATAAATTAAAACTATTTTCCAATTGATAATTTTTAATAAAATCTTTTAAATGAGGTTTTTTGGATAAACACTTGAATCTGCCTTCTGATTATACATGCTGATGTTAAACAGAAAATATTTTGTGGTCAAGTAACATTGCTTACAAATGTAATGAACATATACAATACAACATTAAACTTAATGATGCAGAATAGAAGTAGCTAAAAAACAAACTTAGGAACTGTTAAAATTACAAACTTGGAATAGCCTTGAAGTAATATAAATAGAAGTTGCTACTAAGACTGTCAAAATTCCCTTTAATGTAGATTAAAAAATAATAATAATTTTGTTGTTTAGTAGGAATCAAATAAAACAGCAAGAAAGTATTGTTTCCATTTGTTGTTTTGTGTTGTAAAGCACTGTTTTAAATTGCATATTTGATAGTGGTTATGAGTTTTTGTTCCTAATGTTTTTAAAGTGTTAAATACTATATAAAATATATTGCTTCACTTGAAGAAAATGCAAGTAGTTTTAGTCAGTATATGCTCTTAGATTTCTAAGAAGGCTAAAACATCCTACATAATAGTTAAATAATTGTTATTTCTTTTTTAGTTTTATAATTCCTTTGTGTAAAATGTTTCCATAACTAAACAAAAGAAATGCCTTTAATATATAAAATTAGGATATCAATAACAAATTCAAGGGAAGTTAACCAAGCTGCTCAAGTTAATTTTTTCCACATACCTACAAATTTTCCCCATTGGACGGACGGTATTAACCTCAAAGCTTAAATTACTAGATATAGTGTAATGGTAGTTAACTCTTTAATATCCAATCAATCCCTAAAGATAATTCTGATCTAATAATGGCACTTTGACTTTCCCCCCAGGGTTATTTTATTTTTAATATATTTTTATTGATTTCAGAGAGGAAGAGAGGGAGAGAGAGAAACAATGATGATGAAAGAGAATCATTGATCAGCTGCCTCTTTCATGCCCCCTATTGGGGATCGAGCCCACAATCTGGGCTTGTGCCCTTGAGCAGAATCTAACCGGGGACCCTTCAGTCCACAGGCGACACTATCCGCTGAGCCAAACCACTAAGCCAAACCTGCTAGGGTTTCCCAGGGTTAGTTTAGAAATGATCACATGACCAAAGATATAAAAGACAAATAACAAGCAGCAAGTCACTTCCAGAAAACAATTCTGTTAAGAGTTTCTAGGGAAATTTTTCTCATTTCTAAGAAACAGTCACAAGAGAGCTAGGGCCTCACTTCTAGGGAAAGCTAGCATTTTGAAAGTAATTACCTTACTATCAGCCTAAAACATGAAGCCAACACATGAAAATGGGCAGAACAAAGGGGATCACTGAGAAAAGAAGCTGGAGCCCAGATATACTGTGCCTGGAGTCAGCCCTACCTGTGACATCTTCCACATGAATATATCCTCTTTAGAAAATCTAGATTAAACAATATTTGACAGTTTCAGATTGTTCAATCTAATATTCAGAAATAGTGAAAATAATTTCAAGTCCTAGCTACCAACTACAATAATTATTAAAATTCTGAAATATTAAAAGCCACATTTAAAAAAAAATCCTTTTCAGAAAGGGCTAATTACAAAAGGGTTATTTTATACTGTGGTAAAATTGTAAGCAAGAAAATCCATTTACCTTTCTGGAAATAACTTGCATCCTGTTATTTGTGGATAGAATGTGGAAAATGAAGAGGAACTAATTTTAGAAAGCACTTAAAACAATGAAGGTAGCATCAGTAAGAGATGATCCAGCAAGAATTACCAGCAGTAATACTGTAGACTAATATGATTTTGCATTGCAACTGACAAGGTAGGCAAAACAAAATATTTATATTCCTCATTTTTAGGGTCCTCGTTTGAAAATGAATAATAGCAAGTGCTGGTTTAGATAACAAAACAATTTATCATTATTTTTTCATAGGTATAAATCATATAAGTATTTAATAAATGGAGTGAGCCTGCAGCAGGAAGATAGGTCTAAATTATTTAAATTGTCTGAGCCTCGGTTTTCCTATCCTTAAAATGAAAGCCGGGACTACTTTGCAAGAGTATCTTTAATACATGTAGTACACGTAAGGAGTCTGGCACGGTGTCTGGAACATCCTGCTCTAAAGTAGGTATTTATCAACAAGTGACTCTTACAATCACCCCACTTTGCAGTTCTGTCACCCCATTTTATCCAGGCTTTTCCCTGGGCTCAGTAATAGGACTCCTGATCTTATCCCTCTAAAGACATCCTACCACTATCACCCATTGCATGGTTTCTTCATATATGTCTGTCTTGGAAAACCCTGGTGAAAGTCTCCTTTCAGGACCCAAAAGACCTTATAATGCAGTCTTCATTTTAGTATTGATTTTTTGCCTTTATTGGGAGAAACAAATGGCATTATACTTAATTATCATGCGTTATTAAAGTGAGTCATAAGAAGATCTATTATATATGCATCTTTCCTATAGGATAAGATTGAAGTGTTAAATAAATTGATGGCATAATGTATGTTTAATTCTAACACCGATATCAGAACATCAGAGAGAGTCCTGCTCACTGAATCAATGGAGCTTGGACTCTAGTTTTCCCCCTCTATCCAAATGTCCGCTGTTGACTAGAATCTTGATTGCCTCTTTCCTCATTCATTTGCACTGAAACAAATTCTATATCCATATAAATTCACTTATCCAATCCTCTTAGGAGAGGTCTTAACACTCAGCAAGGCTAGATCTGAGAAAAGACAAAGCTACACTACTACACCATAGACCATTAGTCCCACAATTTTGCCAAGAAGCATTGTTTACAGAGTAACCCAGATTAACACCAAAATATCTTCAGAATGCAATAATAAAATCAATTTTCCTATCTCCTTTCCCCCACCACAAACACACACATACACAGAGTTAATTCATATTCCCAGTATGCAGCAATTAAAAGGACTCTTTTCTGCAAGGAGATCTACAATGAAGATTTCTTTTGGGGATGGCATTCTATTCTTTGTTTACTTTAGTAAAACAATGTGCCTGTAGTTACTGGTTAGCACAAATAACTCCATTAAACAGAACTAAATAGAATCTGTTAGAAGAAATTGTACTTTATTTTTTCAATTTGCTTGTTCAGGACTTGCCTGCTGGTTCATTGGATTAAACTGCGGGACACTTACCTTCGAGGATGATTGGCATCAAACAGCGTGTTGTCATCATCCTCATCTTCCTGTTCTAAAGGTGTCAGTTCCATGTTTTCTATATTAGTGTCCAAAACTCCGTACCTCCTCGTCTTTCGGTTTCTTCTTCTCATCCTATTAAATAGAACGCATTAATAAACATTACTTAAATATGGTACAGATGATCCTTATATTTATTTGTAAATTAAAAATAAAGTATCACCTCTGTTTCTGACATAGAAGATTCTCAATATCAGAATGATTCCATTTTAGAAATGTAACCTAGGTGTGTTTTTTTTGTTTTTTGTTTTTTTTTTAATGAAGGATGTTTGTGTGCCATCACTATTTCTTCTGACATAC